AAAAAAGAGTGAACTATCTTGAAATAAAATATACATTTCAGTCTGCAAAATTGAAGCAAGACTTTATTTTCCAGGTCCCACGTGCAGGTAGGAATTAAGCCCATCAACTAATTACCTTTAAGTACTAGAAACCATGCATAGAAACAAGGTGAAATGGAAAAGTTTGTCAAAAAAAGGAATGCACAGTAACACGAGTTCTATCACACATTTTACTTAGGATTCCTCAAAACTACAACAAATACAGGATGTCTTCTGCTTGAGGAAAGAGGTTGAAGGGGAGAACCAAGAATATCTCACACTTTATGAGGCTTTATTAATGCACAATGAAACAGTATCAAGTAGACAGCTATACACTCATGTACCCAGTGAGACTTTATCAGATGTGAATTTTATGTCACCGATCTAAACACTCTTATCTGTATCAACCTGCTGTTAACCATTATCTTTCCAGCACTGAGCAGAGTCCTGCCCAATGTGAAAAGCGTGCTATTTAAAAAGGAACCATACTAGACTGCCTTGGCTAGGAACCAGAATTATCACCTAGGTACCTCCAGCAACAGTTACTGTAACAATTAAAAATCAGGCACGTGGCACACTTAAAATGAGACATGAAAACACAGATTTGGGGCTGACAATAGAATTTAGCACTGAGATTCCTAGCTATAAAGCCACAACTATTAAGCACTAAAAACCTCATCATGAACACAGACTCTCAAGAAATCCTCATCTTCATAATAAACAGGAAAAGAACTGAGGTGGGACTTAACATACCTAGAGGCTTGACCTGGTTTTCTTCCACACAGAGAACACAAATTCTGCTTCCATACCACTTTAGTGTAGTCTTTCCAGATCCTGCCTGCTGAGCTTTAGTAAGATTTCCCATAATCTCTAAAAAGTTTTTCAAGGTATAGAACCCCTACACTTCTTACATTTTACTTTCCTTGCAGTCCTGATATTTCTGTATTTCTGTAACTAAAAGTCACAGTACCCTGTAAAGATAACAAACTGCTTTTTTTTGTTACAGTGCAATATTTGAAAACAACAAGGAGAAAACAGCAAGGAGAAAGTTACAAATACTATCTTTGGAGCTAATTTTAATAAAATGCACCTCTTTGAAACCCAAACTCCTCTGTTTAACACATTTTAAAATGAAAAACAATTCATTGCTTTTTCTTTTGATGATTAAAGCTTGAAAGAGGTTCACTATAGCTTTTAATATAATTTGTAAACATAGTATAACCTTTGGTAGCTACTGGCACAGAAAACTGCAGCATCAGATGTGAACTTGCACTATGGTTTGACTGCACTTCTTTGTCATCTCCGACACTTGAAAGATACCTGATTCAAATAAATTATGATTAGAATAATCACTACTGTAAATATATACTACCCGACTGATACTCAAAACCAGAGCAGAACCAATTTCTTCTTTGAATTAGGTCCTAAGAAAGAAAAAATAGAAAAAAATACTATTACTTAGAATTATTCCTCCTTTTTTCTAAAAATTCTGTATGTGTTCACAACTACATGTTACTTTCAGGAAAATCCCAAACCACTTCACTTGCACTGAGTGAAAATTTGAAGGCCATCTAAATTTTGAAAGAAACAATAGGCACCAAGAAAAGACCACTCTCCTACGCTGAAATTACTGATACTTTATTAGGTTTAGCACTGAAGGTCAACAAAAGAGTACTTACCTTTTGTTTTGGAAAGAGTTTTGGAATAGAAATCAGTCTGTTACCATGTGACTGGTTTCCAGGCAGCAGTTCCACTCACTTCTTCAGGGAAACGACGTGTTCTTCTGTTTCTGCAAATGCTGTTTATATTGAGTAAATCCAAGTATGTTCAACTCAGACAACATACTGTGAACCATTAATGAAAAAACGCATTTGCAAAAACGAGAACATAATACACTGACCTCTCTCAACTCCTGCCTAGAGAAAGAGATGCATTATATACATGACAGATTGTTGGCATTACATTTTCTGGCTGTTGACTCAAGAGAATGCCAACTTATATGAAATATACTCGATCCATTCCATTTATTTGGTGAATAAACATGTACCATTTCCTCCATTTCTTACCACATTTGAAGGGCTTAGACACCAAAAGTAACAAATGTCAGTGGAAATACTATAAATGGGTGAAATTTTCACTGAAAACTGATCAACATCCCTCAACAGCACACCAAGGATGCATTAATAAAATCTTTTTTCTTATGAGATTTTTACACTATTTTTACTTGCTCCTGTTTATTTAAAAGTATCTCTTACTCTGTCCATTTAGCATCTATTATGATTCACTTAAGGAAGTTCAGAAAAACTAAAGGTAATAAAAAAATTCAGTACCATATGATGAAATCCATTCAAGCTAAATTCGAACATCATTACCTAGACCAAACTTTTCGCCAACCCTGAATTGAACAACTTAAATTGAATCAAAGTCTTATTTGATTATTTCTTCAGATAATAAATAAGTGACTCAGAAAGACAGAGCCCAAAATCCACATTTATATCTGTCAAATTTTAAAGAACTTATAGGAAATTATTTTGCCTTTTAGCATAATTAGGATCCAGTAAAATAAATCAGAAGGCATGAGCTTTCACTAGCTTTAGCTTTCCACTTCTGCGAGTCTTTGGTTTGAATATATGCTGAGAGAAGACACTTAAAACTGCATATTTTAAATAAGGGAAAAAAAGTCAGAAAACATGCATATTAAGAGTTGGTCTGCTCGTTTGCTAAGAATCAAACATTTATGACAATACATTTTATCTTTAAAAAACCCAAATATGTTCTGCAAACTCAGTGTCCCTGGAAAAAAAATAAAATATAAGACTGACACAGAGAAGGAAAAAAAGGATTAAGAAGAAACTTGGAACCAGACTTTTTTGGTAATGTAAGACAGAAGCTGCAAAAGGTTAGGCAACTGAAAGGGGATTTTCTTTGTGCGGATGATACAAGCACATCTTTTCTGGTAGGTCTATTAGGACTGTATCTTCCAGCAACACCATCTGGTGCTGCACACATCCTGTAGCTTATGTGATAGAGCAGTACTACTGTACACCCTGCTGACCCAAATCAAGGCTGTGCACACTCCTGAGAAACGAACAAACTCACCTACAAAACTATATGAAACCCACAGACACACATTAGAAAACATCATTCAAGTTGCAGTCAGTCACTCAAGAACTATGTAAGACGAATTTAATTTGTGCGTGGAAATGTAATTCATTCTTTACCATGTACTGCAGAACTTAATCTTTCCTTACACAATTACATACACTTTATCTACGGATATCAGGATGTGAAGAAGCCGCACTATGTAGCTTCCTACTTCATTGCTTACACAAGCTGAAAGGTCTAATATCAATAAGCTACGGAGATATAAGAAGGAAAAGGTGAGTTTCAGTGTTAAAGCTGTTCTCTCTGCTGGCTCTACCTCTGCCTCTACTGAGGACTCCTGCCCAGAGGAGTCAGAGATGAGAGCATCTCTGCATATATTGCATGTCTCTGATCTTCTCCGTAGGTGAGTTGAGATTTGGGGATCTGATCTGTAGAAGAGCTGGAACTATAATATAACTTACCAATACGCTAAAAAGATTACATGCCAGGAGAAAGGTACTATCAACCAGTGAACACTTTAGGTCTCAATTACATCTGTGTTTCAGTTCCTCATTCACGAAACATGGGAAAAAACCCCTGATACCATGCCACCTTACACTGTGCGTAAAAGGTCCACTAATGTGAAAATCCTGATGGACAATCACCAGGACAAAACTAATAGTAAGGTTCTGTCACTAAACCTATCATTAGTAGACTTTCCTGGTTTAATTATACTTTTTACATGGTGTAGGCAAGTCTGTAGCGCAGTTTCTCATTTGTTAAGTAGAAAAGCACCTTCCTTCAAAGAGCTTTTACAAGAACAAGCCTATGCTTGAGATTATGAGGGACTCCGATACTATGATGATGCTGGATATACACAAGCAGGAAACGTGGTCACTTACACACCATGGTAACCAAATGAAGAGCTTAAAGTTTTCAGGACCAGGAATTTAATCTCAAATTTTACCAACATTCTTCCCATCTATATTTTTCCTTTGGCTTATGTGTAGCACTAAAGAATGAAAAAGTAATGCAGGGAAGTGGCAAAAAGCCAAATAAGGCATGTGTTGTTTTCTTGGTGTTCATGTCTAATATACAATACTCATTAGCATACAATTCCTGCCAGTAAGTGTACATTGAGCAGATGGACATTAGCGGAGTATGTGAATGGGTAGTAAGGTACAACAGCTCCTGCTTTAAGGGCTACACCATTCCAGCTATACTGAAGCCTTTCACCTGTCGCTGGAAGGATTTGTGCACAGTTAATTCTTCCTGAGAATCCACAATGGTTTCTCCCAGCAAATACTACATACACCTACAAAAATACTTATGCCACTTACTAGACTAACTGGGGAACTGAAGCTCTCTTTTCCCAAAAAGTGTTCATACTCAAAAAACCACAAACTTCGTCAAGAAAACGTCTTTAAAACAGTTTAGCCACCTCTAACATAACATCTCCATTAACTCAGTAAGACTTTTTTATCAAATACATGAATGCCCTGTACAGTCTTATTTATTAAGCATTTCCACCTTAGAAATCCAGCACTCGACTGGCACAGCCAAGTGCATCCCCTCTACACCCAGAATGGCAATCGAACTGCTGGCATCAGGATTGAACATTTCTGCAAAATACAGAGTGCTTTAACTCTGCACCTTTCCACCAACTCGAAATAATCATAGCTACAAAGTTCCTGCCTCCCACCTCTGAGTTTTGCCATCCTTTGCCCATAGATTGGCTGCCCGTACTGTCGGGCATTGATTTGTCTTCCATGCCAGTGGTCAACCAGGGAACAGGTCTGCCAACGGGGAGGGCAAAGGATGGCCTCTGCACCCTCCCCCTTGGCACGGCCTGGGGGCCAAGGAGCTGCCAGGGCCCCTTCCCACCACCCACCATTTACCTGGAGCAGGTGGTGGGCCGCCAGGTATCCCAGGCGCGGGCCTCCCTGCACTCCGGGCGGCAGTCGCCCCGTACCGTAGCCGTGCCAGGCCACCACGTAGGGGTTGTCCATGGTCAGCCAGTAGCGCACCTGCCCGCCGAAGTGCCGGAAACAGAGCTCGGCGTAGTCGTGGAAGAGCTGGGGCAGGACGGGGCTGGCCCAGCCTCCGAAGGCGTCCTGCAGGGCCTGCGGCAGGTCCCAGTGGTACAGGGTGACGACGGGCTCGACGGATAATTCCCCGACCTTCACGCAGGCGGAGCATGCAGCCGCCGGTAAGCGCCAGTCCGGCGAGGTTGGCGGGCGCCGTCCGTTGGCGCAAGCCTGGAACCTAGGACAGCGAGAGAAGCGGTAGTGGGAGACCCGCCAAGGCGCCGCAGCCCCTCGACGTCGCGGATGACGTTGTTGTAGCTGTCGCTGGCCACGTCGCCGCCCGCGGCACGCCCGGCCGGGCGGCCCCCGGCGGGCGGTGGCCGGCGGATGGGCGAAAGCGTCCCAGACGGAGGCGCCCTTTGCCGCCCTGGCGCCAGCGCCTACCGTCTGGTAGGCCCCCCCCGGGCGCTGCCCCCCGCGCCCCACAGGAAGCCGTCGGGGAAGGTGTCGTGGAGGAAAAGCTGGTCTTGCGGGTAGGGCAGCCGGGCGAAGCGGGACCAGGTCCCCGCGCCCTGCCCCGGCGCCCCCCGTCCCGGCGCCGCGCAGCAGCAGCAGCAGGAGCACGGGCAGCAGCGGCGCGGCGACGGCATGCTCTCGGCGGGGCTTCCGCGACGGCAGCACCCGCCTCCACTCCTCGCCGCCCATTTTTATCTCACCTCGCCGCCCCTATCCCCGCACGCCCGGTGGGCACGGCCATTAATGATTACCTTCGAGCTGCGCCTGCATGCCTTCCAGGCCGGTTCTATCGGGGAGAGCTCCCGCCGGGCCGGAGATAGGGGGTGAGACGGGGAGGGCGGGAAGGAAGGGGGGGAAAGAGAGGCGTGGGATCCTCGGGGAGAGGTAGACCCTCTCTTGCCCTCGGGTTCGCCTCTGTGTGCCTCCACGGCCCTTAGGGTGAAGATTCCCGTCCGCGGGCGGCAGGCGCAGCCCCGCAGCCCTTCGCGCGTCCCGCCGGGCGCCCGCACCTCGCTGTGGCTTCTTTGACCCCTCGGAGGAGGGACCGTCGCCTCTGCCCTGCACCCTTTCCTGAATTGGCTTTTCGGAGGAGCCTGCGGAAAGACTCGACGGCCGGATCAGTCCTCTCTGAGGGGCTGAGCGTAGCCCCCTCCCGTCCCCCGCTGCAGTGCCACCGTCGGGGAGTCTGGGATCCCTGCGCCGGGCCAAGGGGAGGGAGCGATTCGTGGGGCTAGAGGGAAAAGACGAGGAAATAAAAACGATTTTCCCTTCACTCAGTATTTCCGTTGTGCTTCCTTGACAAGACACATGGCACTTGCGATCTCTCATGTAACAGTAGTTGCAGAGAAACTCGTTGTCCAAGGACATCATACACTCACTCCTCCCCGCCCCCTCCCCGGGAATTCGTGGGTTGTCGCCTCCCAGTAACAACACTTTTCTTTCTAGGAGTAGGAGCTTGGTGTATTTGGTTGCTTACTGCACAGCAAACAAATTCCAATTAGAAATGCCTCACGGATCTTTACGGGGAGGAAACAGATCGAGCTAAGTTTGCTTACTGAGTTACGCTTCTTAAGTTACAGTTGAGCAGGCGTGATGCATGGACTGCTCTTTAAAGGAAGGTCTCGAACTGCCATTTTCGTCTCCTTAGGACAAAACAGTTCAATCAGGACTACGAAGCAATAAATAACCCCACACATTGCAAAACCTGGTATTCAATTGTGTGAACTCAATATGTTTTGGGACATCTAAGAATAAAACATCTTGACAGGCTGTTAGGGTCAGGGAGATGTTCCCAGGAGATAAAGCTGTTGTTTAACTACAGAATCAAGGCATTTAGATAATTTGATTTTATTTATAGAAAATAAACACTCTTGGGGGAAAATTACAGGTAATTGCTAATAATGAGTCGATGGATTTAAATGCCGGTTGTGATCTGACAAAGTTTCTTCTAGTGCACAGAATGGGCTATCATCCCTCTTAAGTGCAGACAGGGCATTTGCCATGCCTGTTTCTACAACTTCCATCTTTTCTGCACTGATTCAGATCAGTTTTGGGGATTGATTTTTGCTGTTTTTAAAGAAGAGACCAAAGAAGAAGCAGGCAGGATTGGAGTTAGTCTTCCATTGCTGGTAATTAAGTACTTGCTCTGTTAGAGGGATGGAGGTCTGAACAGTCCAGGGGACCATCAACTCCCATTCCCTAAGGGAGGAAGTTTGTGGGGTGGGAACAGGGGGTGGCAGGCCCAGAACCAAGGCTGGTAATTGTCTGCCAAGAGTAAGTTTGGGATACAGTCTGACAAGGTACTGAAATTCAATTACTGTAAATTACTTCAGTTATGACAACAGAGCTGCAGCAACAGAAAAAGGTGTTTAGCATCACCCACTAGTTACTTGCAGAAGCTGGAGGTTAGTTGTTAAATGCACAGGGGCATTGCTGCAGTTGTCCCTTAGCAAGGAATGAAGAGCCAGGTTCCTGTTCAGCTACAGACCTGATTTCAGGGGAGGTGTAATGCCTTCACTGGATCTCTTTGCCAAAGTATCTTAAAAATTGGGATGTAGAGGCATGTCTCAGAAATACCACAGCCTAAAATAGGGTATTAGTGATGCTAAGTCCATTGATAACATTTAAGGAAAAAAAACTCATTGAGTCTCTAGGGACAAAAGATTCTGAGATATATCTTGATTCTCTTTTCATATGCTAATTGTTAACTAAAACCTACATCAATCCTATTTGTACTTGGGCAGCCCAAATAAGTAGGCACTTAGCTGAAGCTCCTTCATTAGGAGCTTGTTTTTTCCGGAGTCTGTCAACAATCAAAAGAAAGAAATAGCCTCATGGTGTTACTCTAAGTCAGTCTAGCCAAGATGTTTGTCAGCTTCTGGAAAAGGCTACCTTCTTCAAAAACTGTCCAGGAAGCCTACAGTGACTGTGCTTCTGATGCAAGCAGCCCATTTTTGAGGGACAAAATCTGACCATAAGTTGCTGGCACAATGCTGTCACTTCACCTGCATATCTGTCAGATGAAAACTTTTCTTTGTTTATTTGAGGGTTTTTTTAGTGTAAATGACAGAAAATGTACAATGTGGCTTCCAATTGTTTGTGTTTTTTTCTTACAAAGAAAGCTTGTTTTTGTGTTTTAGGACAACACAATCACTCACTGCTCTGAGTCAATATATTTTTTTCTAACACACAGCCTAACAAATTGTTCAATATTAACTATGCAGAAGGGTCAGCCAAACACTTGCAGACATCCAGGTCTCCCTCACTGCTCCTTGAGTTCAAAGCGTGGCTCCACTGGGTCTGTCTTGCTGAGCAAGCACAATTCAAACTCTGTGCCAGGTAAGCAGATCAAGATTTGACTTTCAGCCTCTTTGTATTGGTGATTACTGAACATTCAACTTTTGATAATACATGAGTGTCAATATAATTTTCCTTCAGGCTGTGCTGAGATTTTCTTTGCTAGGTATGCAGTCAGTGCATGCAATGAAATTTGGCAGTGTTCTGACTGAGCACTTCTGTTTCTATCCCAAAGAGCTTGAATCTTCTGTGTTACTTAATTCTAGGTAAAATAACTCTATTTCTGCTTTAGATTTGTATGACTGTTTTCTCTGAGGTCATATCATGCACTGACTTCAATGCAGCAAACGCATTCCTCATTTTAAAATCTCCACAGAAGAGCTAACAACCGTACACCAGTAGCATTTATCATGGAACAAGTGGTCTCAGTGCCTATAACCACCATCTTCTGTTTTAATGCCTCTTCTCTGCTCACCAGCATACTTCCAAATGGGTATAAACATACAGTCCGTTGAAAATAGCCTTGTGTAATAGATTTACAGTCTCAGCATTTCATCTCAAGACACAAAAGTTTTCACTAACACTTGGGAAAACTTTGTTAAAAAATCACTGCCTGAATTAGACGAGCATTTTCTCTACTGCTTCCATCACTGCATAACAATACTCCTCTTTATTCCATCCCTTAAATGCAAAGTGCTAAGCTGTCAAATTGTACTTCCACTTGCTGATCAATAGGTGTTTCCAGTGGAAAGCTGTGCAACAGCATTCTAGATTTACCTTCTCAGAATTATTTAGAGACAGCTAGTAACTGGTTGTATTGAAATTAGAAACATGGTGTTGTCAGGTCCAAAGCACACCGCTGGTGTAATGAATGCAGTGCTGAGGAATGCTTGGGAAGATGTTGAATTCTCCTCTCTTCCTCTCTTCTAGTTGTAAGTACCAAATCACACTCATCGCCACTTTTTTTTTTTTTTTTTTTTAGCTGGAAAGGGTGGTAGAGAGTTTCAAATGCCTTTCTTTCATAGCCACTCTAGTCTTCTCCTGCTGTTTCAAGTATCATAAATTCTTTTTATCTCATAAAGAACTCTGAATTAGTTCCCTTTTATTCTGTGGCAAGATCTGGTGTGAGGTGGAAATTAGAAACCTAAACTGTAATAATTTTCCTTTTGCCCTTTTGCAACTGTGTCTCCAAGAAGTGGAAAAATCTTGAACATCCCCTTGTAGGAAAAGTGGAATTTGAAATACTTTGGCCCTTCTTACTTTTGAGGATAATGGGGAGTAACTTCAAGGCAAGCCTAGAAATTACTATTTTATTCACATGGGGCAGGAATGACAATCTGTAACCTGGGAGGGGACACATATGGTGTCTGGATGCTTCCATGTACATAGGTGGCTGGGGCTGCAAAGCCTTCCAAGTCTTACACACCCTCCATCAGGGGAACTAGTAAACACATTTCAAACTATGAATCACGGAAAGTGATGGGAAAGGGAAGAAAGGTGAAACACCATCTTGGAAGGCCATTTGAAAATGAAATCTTGTAAATGGTGTCTCATAATTCTGGGAGACTACAAACACTTCCCATTACCCAGATGACAAGACAAGAGTTTGTAGATGATCTCCCTGTCTTCAAAAGTGCTTTCTTTATTGGTGAGAGAAGGATTGGGTAAACACAGAAGGGAAAAGAAATTGCCTCTCTACTAAGAAGGGAGATAGTGAAGAGGCCTTGCTCTTCCTCTCCTGGGATAGAGACATGAGCTTGGCTGGCAAGAGGGGTCCAGAGCTGAGGGATAAGAGAAAGGAGAGAAGAATGCTCCCTGCCAACTCCAGCCATGCAGCTCATGAGCCACAGGCTTTAATTGTGTTTTAGGCAAGAACCAAACCCTGGTTGCAGTGGATGAAGAAATGAACCTGTCTCCCCAAAGTCTTCTGAATCTGTGTGAACAAGCAAAGGTGAGTGTCCAGGGAAGTTGCAGACCAAACAGGGAGTTGACTAATTCATTTTGGCTCTTTAGGATGGAAAATCCTGGAATGCAACTGGATCTAGGGCAACTGGATCTCTTAAAGGAGTGAAATAGAGTTGCACACCTGTGAAAATCCCAGTCTGTGGTCTCTGCTGCAGTATAAAAAGGACCCGAAAGATGATTTCACTCTTCTCACTTCTGTTTTAATTTCTATTTGTGATACACTGTTATAATTTTGGAGCCAATTTCATTCAGTCTCCACAGGATGGCTCAAAAACTTGAATCCTGTCTCTCAGTCCAGAGCTGACAGCACTCTGAAGACACAAATAGTGACTTTTCATATACAGCCATCCTATCTCTTCAGTTCAGGCCCAGC